TTTGGGCTGCGGTTTGCGGCGGCGGGTGCGCATCACATTACCGCCGGCGCAGCGAAGCAGCAGCCCGGTGAGTAAACGAGTAGGTATATTTCAAACTGTTGGGAAAACTATTGCCGGTGAGTGTTCGTGGGAGATATTATTTGCGTGCGGCCTGCAGACACACGCGGCGCGGAGGTGCCGCAATTCCATTGAGTTGGGCGGCGCAGGCCGTCGGAATGTAGCGGTGCGGTGTGGGAACAAAAAAAAGGGCGCGCCGGGGCCGGTTGGGGGAGTTCCGCAACGGCACCTCAAGTGCCGAAAGAGTTGCCGGAGGGGGCGGCGCTGGGGGAAGTGGGTGGGGAAACCGCAGCAGCGGATGGCGTTTCTACGGAGATGCTCGAAGGGACTATTTTTTTTTTTAAAGTATATTTGTGTTTGTATTTATTTGGCTGCGGGCACGAGTCATAGCCGGCAAGTTGCCCTGCTGTGCGAAAGAGGAGGCGGCGGGTCCCGTGACCTCGCAGTGTAGTAGCACTGTCTTTAGTTTTACTTTTTGGTCTTTGTTTTCTTTTTTTTACGTCCGGGCGCTACCCAAAGACGTTTGCGTGGGGCGGGGGCGAGATGAATTCCTCCTCGTGCGGCTGCAGGGCGCCGCGTGCGCTCATTTGGCTGCCGCCGCCGCCTTTTGTTTTTTTCTTTGCACTCGCTCTCTCCGCGGAGCTTTTTTTTCATTTACTATTTTGTTGTCTCTCTCGTTTCTTTCTCCTCTGCTGCGACTCTTTTACCCCGCCGCCACAACTGCGGCGACGGATGACGCTGAGGGTGCGGCAACGGTGCGGTGTGCGCCCTGGCGCTCCTCGCGCTGCTCTGCGGCGGCTGCTGCGCCTCCGCCTGCGTGGCGGCGATTGCTGAAGCAAGTGCGCCGTTGGAGCTGTCGTTTGCGAAACCGGAGGGGAAAAGTTGCGTTGGCGCGTTGCTGGCGGGAAGACGCCTACTTGTAAAGAGCGCCCTAACAATCCGGGAGATTTGGGGGGCAGTGGATCCGCTTTTGCCAGTAACTAATTGTGCCTCTTTGCTGGAGCGGCGTCCATGGAGAACTACCCGGATGGGCGCTGCCCTTCACCCGCTGCAGGGGGCGCCGAGGCTGCGCTCACGATGACGTGTACGACGGCGACCGACAGTAAACTGCGCACGATGTCGACGGGCGAGGCCGTCACCCTCGTTGCAAACCATGATCCACTCGGCGAGTCAGGGAGTTGCGGGGCAGCAGTCCCCAGAGCAGCGGCAGCGGAAGCGCCGTCTGCACCCCGAGCTGAGGGGCAACGACATCCAACTGGGACTCAACCAGGAGGAGCGCCGCCATCTCCTGCGGGAGCTCAGCACGGAGGAAGTCCGGCGGGCGCCAGCGGGCCGGGGAGTGAGGGCCACACAGCAGCCGTGGGGCGGCCGGGCACGCCCAATTCCGCCGCCCCTCCCGCTGGCGGCACTCGGAGCCACGCAAAAAGCAACGCAGACGGTAGTGACACCGTCTCCGCTGCGTGGGCGCGTGCCCCACTGCTGCTGCTTCTGCCGCTGCCGCTCACGGCTGCTTTTGCCTGTGCCGCTGGACAATGCTGAGGGGACAGCCACACACACACACACACGGTGCCGGCAGCGTGGCTGTGCGTCGCACGGACCACCCAAATGAGGCAAGGGGCCGCGGCCACCATGAGGTGCAACTGTCGGTGTGGGCATGGGCTCATGCAACGGGGCGATGTTTTTTTTTTTAGCCTTCATTGATGCGGGCAATAAACATATATACACACACAGCCCTGTTGTGCTTCTGGACACGCGAAAAAAAAACCTGTCGAAGTGTTGTTTTAATTTTCGTTGAGGTAACTCACCGCAGCGCACCTTGAGTTTTTGCGCTCTTCTTCTTAAATTTCTCTTCTGTCGCTGGGTCGAGACGCCTCTGTTCCGCCTTCCTTTTTTTTTCTGCTACTTCCCGCTGGAGTCACCGGCAGTCCGTGACTGCGACGACTATTTTTTTGTTATCCGCTGCGGTGGCGCGGGAGTGACGGGGCGTGCGGCCGCCCCTTTCTGCGCACGCTGCGGCGGGAGAGAATAGACGATGGGTGCGTGTGAGGCGCGTGTCTCACTGCGAGTGCGCGTGGGGCGCCGTTTCATCGCGATCTGCGGTACAGTGCGGCACGATGCCGATCGGTGAGGGCAAAGCAGCGGCGGTCTTTGGACGCGCTCTGTCTTTCTCGCTGTGCGGTTGGCGTGTCTTCTTCTCCGCGCGTCTCTTCCACCCCTCGCACGGCGGGATGAGTAAAGGGAGCGGGGGAGTTTGGGGAAGAGGGCGGATAACTGTTCGCCCGCCCCGCCCACAACTTGGGGCCCTCAACACACGCGACTTTTTGACAGCTTCTTGTGGCGCCCCAGCTGTCGGGGCGAGGGAGAGTGGGGAAGGTCTGCTTTGAGCAGCTGTGGAAGGAAACAGACAGCCCGCTCTGCAATCTTTTTGACGTTATTGGGCAGCACGCACTGAAAGCGGAAATCTCAACACTTCTGGAGTGGGATATTTATACCGTTCCGTGTGTGGGCTGCTTCCGTGGCGAGGTTTGTCGTTGTGGGGCCCTCTTGCTGCCCGTGGAATCCGAGATTGGCCGCGGAAGTTGAAAACGAGCGGTTTGTTGCGTGGTTGCCGTACGGTTTGCTTCGGAAGTGTTTCTGCGACGGCGAAGACTTTGCACGTCTGAAGGAGAAGGTATGTCAGATGGAGCACCCCTTCAAAGGGCTGCAGCAGGGCGGAAACCGTCTCTTCCACCTGGCCCTGCCACCCGCCGCCTTTCTGGACGCGTGCAGAGGCATCCGCAAGGGGGCGATGCAGCAGCCCGGTCCGGGCTGGGTGCGTCTCATCGTTGAGAAGCCCCCTTTGGAAAGGACACGGAGACCCCCCAGCAGCTCTCGAGGCAGCTTGAGCCGCTTTTCGACGAGAGCCAGTTGTTCCGCATTGGCTACCGCCTGGGGAAGGAGATGGTGCAAAATATCATCGTCACGCGCTTTGCCAACCGCGTTTTCAGCGCGCCGTGGAGCAGCAACAATATTGCGTGCGTCCGAATTACATTTAAAGAGACTATTGGCACGGCGGGTCGTGGGGGGTGCTTTGACAGCATTGGAATCATGCACGCCGTGGGCAAAAACCAACTCAAGCAGATCTTTTCTTTATTGGCCGTGGGAAAAGCCGCTCCCCCTGAGCGTCGAAGACACTCGTGAGGAAAAGGCACTTTGTTCTCCGACAGGTGGAAATCCGTGGCTGCGGGGAACGGTGTGTTGGGTCAGTACACACGGCGTCTGTGGCTTTGGCTCTTTTTGGTCGGTTTACTTATCGCGATGCATGCCTGTGTGCGTGGCAATTTCCACTTGGTGTCTTTTTCTTGCTACGCTGTCTTTTTATTTTT